ATGAACCTCAAATGAAATGTTATTTGACTGGTGAATAAATCGACAAATATCGGCGCATATGCGATCAAATTAGCTGATACCGATAGTCACTTGATATGCTAATATAGGCCGATATTATCGGCTTGGCTGATTAATTGGTCAGGCATTATGACAACATATTCTACAGAACAGTCTACTCTTGACCTCAGTGACCTGGCTGTCTTGCCTTTGCTGCAGATGTTAAAAGATGCTGTGTTAAGATTTAAGCAGAAACCCAGATTGCAGTTGGAAAGTTCATTTTATTAATCCTGAATCGCATCGACATGAGTAAAACTCATACCAGTGACATCATAGAACTTCTAATTTGCAATTACACAAAGCTTGAGCTTTCATTCATTCCTTCACCCTTTCTACAACCTTGGGGTGACTGTGGCTCAATGGAACAATCTGTCATCTCTCAACCTTTAATGTCCACATGAAGCAACCTTTGAAGTCCTGCTCAGGGTGGCCTCTGACTCAGAGAAGCAGCGGTGTGTCCGGTCCTCACAGAGGGAACAGAGGAGGACAGCAGAGAGAATAAAGAGACAGGGAGACAAGCCTAGGAGGAGAGGGAGGAGGAGGAGAAAGAGGACGACGACCAGATTGTATTGACAGCAGCCTGTTGCCCTGAGAACAATGTCAGCACCATAAGTGTTTGGTTCCCTGCCTCACGTTAATGGTGGCTGTCTAAATAGAAAGAAAAGGCACCGCCTCGCTGTGAGGTCAAAGGTCAGTGTAGGTCTGAATGCTCATTTATCTCAGATAAGGAGACAGTGAGGGTGGAAAACTCAAAGCTTTCGGTCGATACATGATTCATGTCAGAGATCAGATGGTGGTTACAACAGCTTTTTATTTGGTGAAATATAACATAGTTATAATGTGGGTGTTTACTTGCAATCTTTGCATCATTCAAATTAAAGATTATTTAGACATCTTATGTTGACATTTGTTGCTGATATTAACCGTCAGTATTATAAAACAAAGATGTAGTCTCAGAGGCATCACCCATTTGTTTCTGGAGAGGCGTTTTAAATAGGTCACCATGTTGGAAGTTCTGACTCTAGCTTTGGATCAATCAGGAATCATGGAAAGTGTTACAGCTACAATGCACCTACCTGTCAGTAAAATCAGCTATGCTCTGACCAATGTTTTAATGCAGTACCCATTTTAATCCATAAGTGCGACATTTTCAATGTTCCACCTTTAAAAAGATGTACTGGTTAGTTGGAGGTATTATTGTAATCAGTTTGTAAAATGTATAAATACAGTATTAGCTTATACTTTCTTACAGTACACAAGTCATCTATGCAAGAAAAAACAAACTTTCCTGTGTTTTATTTTTATTTTCAAAATGTAGGAATTACAGAGTAATTTTATTCAATGGCATATTTCAACAAGTCAAATTGGATTTGAGGGACGTCAGGTAAAATTTTCAATAGATTTTAGAAGAAAACCACCTTCAGGGTACTATTTGCACACAGTGCTAACCAGAGGGACTTAAGAGGCTGTTATCAGCACCAGTGCACACAGATAAATACAAAAACACAACAGATATTTTGTTTGAAGCTGGTGGCTGTTTAATGAGCTATAACGTGTACAATGTTTAGACTCCATATTCAATCCTCCCCTAATACTTTTACCCAAGCCTGTCCGCTGCAGAGGATAAATCTCCTTGTTGTTAATTGAGATTAAGTGCTTGTATTAACATTCGCCGGGCAGTGTTTGAAAGCTTTCATGCGTGCCAAGTCCTCTGGAATAAGGATTAAAGTTAAGGAGAAAGTAAAATAACTATGGCATGTCCTGTTAAATCTAACTTATATCCCTCCTCTCTGCAGATCTCTAATTTCACCTGTATTTACGCAGACAAAGCTTGCACTCCGCTTCATATAGCAGAGAATAAACACTGAGAAAATGCTACATGTTCTTGAGAGTGGGAAAGAAGTGGGGGTTGTACGGTTTGAATTTCAGACAGGGATGCAGAGGAAGTCATAAAGCGAAACTATATATGAGACAGTGGATGATTAAAGCTAAACAAACATTGTTAACAGACGCTGGACAGTTAAAATTGAAGTATAACTGGATGTTTGATCAAGTAATGGCACTGAGTCATTCACTGGTTTTCCCCGAATGTACAAAGTAACTCTTCTGTTCTCATCGGTGCATTTGGGAATGAATTCTGGTTGTATTAAGTTAATAGATTTGTTTTGTATTCAGTAAAACATCCTTGAAGCTGAATTATTATAATTTAAATCTGAAAGAGAAAACTGTGCTGAAATGATGTTTGAATGGCCCGCTGTTCCCCTGTGTGCAGAGTTTTGAACACAGAGGTCGGTCAGTTGCTTCATCTAAAAACTAGCAGCATTCCTGTGGCAACACCATTAAATCTAGGTTGCTTCACTTCCCCTCGTATATTTCTTCTCATCATTCAGAGTGCAAGCTTGGCAAGGTTACTAATCAATCAATTAACAATCATTATTTGTAAAAGTGCCAATTCATAACAAATGTTATCTCAAGACGCTTTACAAAAGACCACATGAGATAATATGCAGGCAGGATTTCTCCTTCGTATTCCTGTTGTTCACACTTCCTTGCTGCTGAGGTGGAGGTCGAAGCAGGCCGTGCATGAATTAGGACGACGGTGGTTGAGGGGAAGTCAAAGTCTGATGGTGGTGGCTGAGCATCAGGCGGTGGTTTAGTTGTATTATCTTATTCTCCTGGGCTGTAAGCTGGAATTTGATTATATTTTCTGCAGACAGACTTGGTTAGTCGTCCTGTGTGTGATGGAGGCTGGAGCACATAAAATATAACATGAAAAAGCTTTGGTCCTGCTTAGTTTAAATTGACCAGTCCACAGGTTCTCATGGGATGGAGCTGCATCTTAATCCTCGACCTCCCCGACAGGCATCGATCCCTGCCCACAGGCCACAGAGCCAGAAAGAGTCAAGACTCATATTGGTTTGCCTCATAAAGTTTGCGCTTCATTAAAGAATAGTGTGTGCAGTACAATGATCATTTATAAACAATTGTCCTTTTAATCAAGGCTTATGCAGGAACATGTTCCCTTTTTACAGAATCATTATCTGCAGCAGTGCATCTGGAAGTAAAAACGCTGCCCTCGAGGAAGAGTGCCATTGGTTGTTGAAATGTCAGCTGCTGAATGTGCTACTCACATGCAGCAGGGGCTTCTTGGGATTCATCGGGAGGGTTGCAGCGAGGCACAGATGCAGCTTTGTCGGGCTTGTGGAGGAGAGCAGGTCCTGCTCTTATCCATATTTGTATGTGATGATGGAGAAACTGAGCAGTTATTATTGCATTTTTTTAAGCAAATATAAAAAGATTACTTGAATAACATGGATATTTATGTAGTTTGGTAATCTGTAATTTTACATAAAAAAGAACATATGATCTTCATGGTGTGTTTGTGCTGTAACTAAGGACTGATGGATCAACGTTTGGAAATCACTTAATCCTCAAAGGTTTAAATGTGGTTAATCTTTTTTTGGCATGCCGACCCAAGGTCCAAGATTTGTGCCACAGGTCATCCACATTGTGCATGGGCATAAACACAAACACACACAAACACACACACACACACACATATACATTCAGATAAAACAGAACCCTGTACTTATACTCTTCATCGTCGTTCTCAGTGAAGTCAAAAGTTTCCAACCGGTTGGCTCTGCACTCATCACAAAGACCTCACTGTGATCATTTGGACTCCACTGTTAGTCCTGCGAGATTAGGGGGATTTGCAAACACACACACACATAAAGATCTAAGATAACACAAAGACCAACATAGGGAGGATTCATATCTAATATCTTTTTATTGGTAGTTGTGAAAACTCAGTTCATAAAGTAGTTGAATGACATGATCAAACTTTTTAAGCAGGAGCACCATAGGCTGATATTCTCATTTGTTATATCACAGGCCTATACCACCATCTGCTGGAGAAAAGACAGCACAACCACTGAGGTGACTTACAACAATCTTCAAGTGCAGTAAATCCCATTTGAAGCCCAGTGGTTTTTTTTAAATCTAGTTAATTTATGTTCTCTAAATGAGGAACCTGAACTATATCTTATCCAGCCAAACTTGCTCAAATAAAAAGGGATGGGTTATGCAAAGCAGTTTGTTGACATTTGTAAATAAAATTACTTTCTTTAATTTACTGCTATTACTTGTATAAGGTCTTAGCTGCCTGTATTTGCATTTAAGTTAACCCTACAGAAAAAATATTGGGATACCAGGGAACTTCTTGTGTTTGTGACACTCTCATCATATGCATTGTATTCAATGTATAACAAACATCACATGTGACGTAATGGTGTTGAGGCACCAGCGGCGTCCCTGTATGAGGGGTGATTCATGCGACCCTTAGCCTAACTGAGCAGAGAAACGTATCAATCGCAGCCTACCACACGTGACACTACCCAGAGAACTCGCATGAGAAGCTATGTGACCTCTGCGTCAAATCCAGACCGATCCAGGGAATAAAAGGAAGTTGACAAGCTGCCATTACTTCATCTGGGAGTATAGGCTACGAAACACACACACACACTGTATGAGAGCAACACTCACTTTATATGAGCAGTATGTTATCCACACGCACGCTATCCAAACGTTTCTCTTAGCGTACGTCATCCAAGACCAAAGTGAAATATGACAGGTAACAGGTCTGTCGTTTTTATAGACATGGATATTTATGTAATTTTTTTCCCATTATTCTCAACATTGGTATGTATGTCATTTTTTCAACATTTTTATGTCTTGTGACGGCCCTGGCCATGGTGTTTTGCCTGGTACTCTTGTCGATTTGTGTTTCAGGGTTTTGGCGTCATCTGGTGGTTGGTGGTGGCATGCCTGCTGGTTGTTTGGAGACCTGCCCACCTACCTGTTGATTGCAGATGGGCTTCACCCGAGTAGCAGAGCATTAAAGCCAGGCTGCCACAGCTTTCTGGCCCCCTCTCCCTCTGGACACCAAGACTTTCAACCTTCTGACATGGTGTATTTTAGTTTTGTAAGGACTTAAATATACCTTATATGCAAGTTATTGTGTGGACCTCCATTGTCTGTGTTTGCTGAGGCGAGCTGGTCATAACAGTTGCTTTTTTCGACGTATGTATGTCCTTTATTCATCTCTTACAACGTATGTATGTCTTTTTTTTTTGAAGATAGGTATGTGTAACACTCAGGATACAAAATTTACTTTGAATAAAATATGTATTTATAAATAATTTATCAAAAAACTAGATGTAACAAATTAAGGTGTACCAGGCTACTATAGGTTAGACTCTTGATGCTGGTGGAGAATTAATTAAACACACAACACAGAATGTTGGTAACCGGTTTTGTATTTCAAACTTAAATTTTAACAAAACACTTCAACTTAATAAAGGAAAATTCCACAATTAAATAAAATAAGCCTTCAATTCACAGATTCTTATAAATCAATGCACCAAACACATTACACGTACTGCAGTTATTTGTTGTGTGTGCAGAATGTCCAAAGAATTCAAATGTTTATTTAGGTAGGGGGAAATCCTACCACACCATTTAACCAGACAGCCAGGCTTGAGGCCTGCCTTTTGAGGGAATCTTCTTGAGTCTTTTGAAGTTGCTCCTTTAGCTCGCCATCTTCTTTGCTCCGGCAATATGGCCTGACCAGTGTTCAATCCTGAAACATTCCTACTCGGCAGCAGCACATCAGCTCCTCAAGGGCTTGAAGTCTCAGTTAAGTCCAGCTTTGTGTCCAGGGTTGAAAGCACAAGTTTTTCTTTCAGAAGTTCTCCTTAACTGTTCTAGGAATGACTGTGTCCTTCTTCCTTCTGGCTGACTGCTTGATTGGTTTCAATCAGGTGATTAGTTCACCTGGGGAAAGGGGGTAGATGCCTATTGGCTGCAGACTGCATCCAATTGGCTCAGGGGATTTGAATGACAGATGCTGTTGTTCAGTTTTAGCAGTGTTACATATGTTTTTCTTTTTTTTTTTTTGACGCAGGTATGCATGTCGTTTTTGCATACTTGGACAGTTTGGTGTAATTCTACATAAAAAAAGAACATATGACCTTCATGGTATGTTTGTGTTGTAACTAAAGACTGATGGATCAACGTTTGGAAATCACTTAATCCTCAAAGGTTTAAATGTGGTTAATCTTTTTTTGGCGTGCTGGCCACAGGTCAAAGATTTGTGCTACAGGTCATCCACATTGTGCATGGGCATAAACACAAACACACACAAACACACACATATACATTCAGATAAAACGGAACCCTGTACTTATACTCTTCATCGTCGTTCTCGATGAGGTCAAAAGTTTTCAACCGCTTGGCTCTGCACTCATCACAAAGACCTCACTGTGATCATTTGGACTCCACTGTTAGTCCTGGGAGATTAGGGGGCTTTGCAAACACGACATAGGTATGCATGTCATTTTTATCGACATACTTTTGACATATGTTGTTTTCTCCATCTTTTTCGACATAGGTTTGGATGTCTTTTTTAGAAAAAGGTATGTTGTTTATTTGGACAAAGGTATGCATGTTGTTTTTCATCTTTTTTAACATAGATATGCATGTCGTTTATTCATCCTTTTGACACAGGTGTGTCGTTTATTCATCTTTTACGATGGGTGTATGTTGTTTTTTCGACAAAGGTATGTCATTTCATTCATTTTTTGGACGCAAGATATACATGTCGTTTTTTTAACATGTATGTCGTTTGATACGTCAAATTAAACACTTCATCTCTGACAGATATTATTTTGAGATTACTCTGTTTACGGACAAGAATGGACCTGAAAATATCTGAGCTGCGGATACACATTCATGCAATATACATTTAATATCCACTTAAGATATTTTTCAGATCTTCTCCCATATTAGCTCCATCTAAGACAAGTTATATATTTATTAAAATTAGATAACTGACATATACCATTTTTGTATGTTTGTTTGATATTCTGAAAAGTCACCAGATAGCTGACAAATGAATTAATTCTGCATACATCCATTTAAATTCTGAAATTAATTTTGTGCTTATTTCACAGTATCTGTAAAAGGTATTTGCAATGACATCAAAAACAAAATGGATTTAATATGTGCCACTATATTACATTTTGGTTTCTGTACATTTAAATTTTGTGTAGAACACTAACTAATGGGCCTTGGCCCAAGTCACACATACAACATTGGCAGATTTCTAGAGGGAATCAATTTAAATTTAAAAATCTGTAAAAAAAACCAAAAAACAACCGTTTACTTCCAAAAACATGTTTACTAAATAACACAGGACAACATTTGTCTGTTAAAAAAATAACGAGGACACAATTAACCAAGTGTTTAGTAACTAAACAGAATTTCTGTGTGGATGGATAAATTCTAAATAGTTAGATGAAAAACAACAAGATCAACAATTTGGGATATTGCACGTTTAACGTCCAATACATAATACATTTACAGAATGAAATTAATAAGTGACATGAATTGATCAGACATTAAGGAAACATGCTATGTTGAAGTGCTGGCTTCTCTGACAACAATGCAGCAGCCAGTATGTCCTCCTTCTAACTTTAGATTCTGCTCCTGAAGGCTCTGGATTTGTACTTGGACCAGAGAAGGTAGGCGGTTTTAAGGCACCTCCACAGAGCGGATGGAGACGTCCCTTGGTTTGCAAGGCAAACAGCAAACCAACAGGTGATGCAGCGGTGAAAGTGTGCAAGTGAACAGGTTCAAATAGGTTTATACACCCCACTTATAAAAGCCTCTGCATGTTTCTAATAAGCTCCACGAGCAGAAACGTGCTCAAACTAGGATCAGTATTGGAGATGCCTTTGAAAAATGGAGAGCGGTTAGAAGGCAGAAATGTTTCACGGTTCTGAGTGCGCCTTGACTCTAGGTAGGAGGCTCGAGGGAGACAGCTCTCTACAATGTTTTGAATGTGGACTGCAGTACCCATTTAATCACTAGGTGCTAAACTTAAATACTGCTCCAATAATATGTAACTCTGACACCTAATATTTAAAAACACCTGTTACGCCGCTACACAACCCCACAGCTAAAGGCTATCCTTGCGCCTAATGCTAAGTCCAGTGAGCCCGTAACTTAATGCCTCTCCTTACGTGTTGCGTAAACATGAATGTGTATCCTGCCTTACCTGAATGTGTGTGCAACTGTCCTGTCTGTTTGAATGGTGCGTGTAGGTGACTCACCCCAGAGATCCTCGTACGTGCCGTGACCAGCTGACTCGGACAGCCCGATCCACGGAGTCACTTGGGTACGATCTCCTCCGCCAGCCCTCTCTTTCATATCAGTTTAGTTCATGTGTAAAAAGAGGCATTGCTAATCTCCGCATTGGGACCACTTTGATACTGTAAGAATATGGAGTTCAGATATATTTCTGATATGAATGATGTTGTAGATAGAGAATAAATAATGTAAGGACATGGGAAATAACATCTACCAAGGTTTACATGTGTCACTTATAAGGAGACCGGACAGATAATGACCATAAAAATACTCTGAAGTGTGGCTGACATGGTTCTTCCTTTGAAAGATACAACTATGAATATACAAATATTTTCTATTACAAGTTTAAAAAATTAAAACCAACTGATGGGCTCCAGCAGTGTGACCTCTCCTCACTTGCTGGGCCTCTCCAAACACACAAATTTAATAATGACAAACAATAAGCAACAATTGAACCTTGACCCAGGATCCTGGACTTCTACTCTCCTCCTCGCTTGACATCCTCACCTTCTCGAATCCAGGATCTTCATGGGTCCTGGATGAAGGAGATCCTCTTTTTGAATCTTGACCGGATGAGATTTGGTGGTGAGACGAACGAGGATCCTGTCCCTTCCTCCTGTTCTCATCTAGCACCTTCTGGCATGACATCATAATTCTTGTGAGTCGTGGTGCCCACCATTTTGGAGTGGAATATCTCAAACAGTTTTTTCCTCAACACTCATGAGACTTGCTTCCCCCCTTTTAAGTATGATAATGTGTCCCCTCCAAGAATCCTTTATCCCACCTTCACCCTCTTCTTGAAGAGCTAGCAAACTAAAAAAGAAAAAGAAAACATATATATTTGTGAGCAGTATCAGTGGTCATATTATGAATACTGGCTAACTCCCCACCATCAGCCAAAACATTGTAGACATGATCCACAATTCCGGTCCCATGCACAATTTAGCTCAGCCTAGGAATGGGCCGTAAAAAACGGATAACGAATAACCATTTGCAGGGATCATTGTTGACTTTTTTGCAACACGCAAGTCGATTGAACAGAAAATATTGTGGAAAAAACGTTTTTATAATGTAGCACTCAAGCTAAAAAGAAAAAAATCAACCTAATAGAAACATTTTTCCCATTTTACTATGCTGTAGATAGCTTGCACCAGTCTCTTCGTTTCATTACCAGGTATGTGCCACCCCCGGGTAATTCCACTATTATCCAGTAGATGGAGCCACCAATCTACACCATAACTCCACAAAGGTGTGACTTGGCTAAGGACCAATAAATCAACATTTTATATTTTCGGCTCATTGTGCGGGGTTTTTGTTAAAGTTCCTTGTGACTAAACCCATAACTTCTGCATTTAATTTGAAAAAAGAGTTGAGGTTTCTAAGGGTCGATACATGGTTGTATTTGCAAAAGGTGGCTTGTATAATGAGTAAAACATTTTGATCAATCTTGTGGATTTGTTCTTTGTGAATAATCTCAACAGTCCAGAATTAGCATGAGCATACATTCTACATGTGGCATGAACACAAACAAAAGGAAACTCACGAAAAGGGGATCCCCAGCCAATGGTCAAAATGGCCGTGAGGCTCAAACAATCCTTTTAAAAACTTCCTGGTTAAACCAAGTTGCTACAAGCGTGGATAGAGTTCAACAAACTACGTCAAAAAGAATATCAGTAACATCAATCTTTCCATAAATTAGCTAAATGTGCAACAACTATACAACACAGTCTTTAAACTAAAAGTATTTTTTTATCTTCAGGAGGTTGAAAACAAAGTATAAAAGAAGGAAATTGTTATATCCTCCCCCTGATATAACTGATTTTAACTACTTAATTGCTTTATTTTGACAAAAAATAGTTAAATTGTTGAGACAGGTAGCTGAGTCAGCACTTCTTTTTTCCAATATATTATCTCTTCATCATCTATCACTCATTGATAATCCAATGATTAGGTTTTCCACGCCTCTGATAACCTTATACATCACTCGCCAATTCAAATATCACAATGACGTAATGGTTATGCAACACAGGAGGAATCCATCCAAAACTGGACAACTTAATGACTTTGGTATTGCCAAACTTCCTTTCTTTGGAAGGGAAACGTGCCTCAGTGAACATCAGATCTCATATGCTCTCATATGCTCATTATAACTGTAAAATATGTAAATATGTACATATGCATGTTAAAGTATTATTGTATACGTCATCATATTAATTAATATCATTATTAACATTAACACATTAACATACATTGTCCTACTTTAATACTTACATATCTGGACACACCACACTTTTTTTGGCAGATTTTACCTTTAATTTTCTCAAAAACTAAACAGTAAATTCTGCTGAAGATTTTCAGGACCACAGTCAGGGACATTAGGAACAAGAATCCATTGAAAGTTTCCTGTCATCTCTCACAGATCTTTCAAAATAACATAATAAAAATGGCTAAAATATCAAAGTGTTTCTAAGCAATTTGAGCAGACTTTACCTTTAATTATCTCAAAATGTATACAGTAAAATCTCCTGAAAATTCTCAGGACCACAGTCATTCAAATTAAAATAATCAAAATGATCATCTGTCTGATGTAAGAACAGTTTATTCCCAAAGCGTGTTTGGTGTCCCTGAGGCCTTAAATCAAATTTAACCCCACTTTTTTATGGAATCTCTTTTTTTTTATCTTAACCTACAGATTCTGTTCTGTCAATTTATTCCAACAATTCACTATGTCCTTCAGAAGGTGGCAAGAGAACAGAACAATCTGTGTGAAACACAGTCATGCATTCACCTCATTTGAGTAAATGGACAGCTCAGTATTGAACAAACATGATTTAAAGAAAATGATTTTCTCCCTCCAACTGTGAAATGTGATCACATTTGATGGCACACTGTCCTGAAGGAGTGGAGGGTCTTCCCTCTGACTGAATGAGTTCAATCGACCTCTCAATGACACGTAGTGTTAAAAAGAGACACGTGTGTGTGGTGTGAAACACATTCAGAGGTAATCGGCAGAGATGATGACCTTTTTGTTTGTGATGAGTAGCTGGGATCATAGACACTGACTGTGTTATTCTTTAAGTTGCCATGTGTCACATTTGACAGGTAGCGGCTGATTTCATCCTTTATCACAAGTGATTCTAAAAGATTAGAATCGTTAATGACTGAGGTCAGCTGTTACTGGCCTTGATACTTTACAACATTTTCTAATATAGTGACAGTAGCTTTGTTTAAAGGACGTCTTTTAATCCAATTATAATCAGTGTATGAGCACAAACAGAAGCTTTAATTAGCTTTCAGTACATCTGGGACAACAGCTAATTAAGCAGGCTGTGTTTTGAAAGTTTAATTGATGACATGAACACCAGAAAGTCTTGTGTTTGAGCAATCCATCAGACTCAACCTCCTCCAAAGCTGGACAGACTCCCTACTTATCATACATCACAGCTGATTCTGACAGTTGCCTCTATCATAGTTACCACAGCCATCTGAGGTCTAACTGCCCTTACATCAGTAACATCTGTAAGTGCAGTCAGATTCCCATATCACTGGGGATGTCTTTTCCTATCACGTTGATTTAACATTTCCTTGAATCTGTGCCGTTTTTTCATCAAGCTCAATGGAAAGTGGATAGAGGGGAGTTTTTCTGACTTTTCTACTGGACCCTAAGTTTTCTGAAAGATTCAGGAAACACTCCTTAAAGAAAAACACAATGGCTGCCAGGGAGGCCTTTTAAAAGAGAACACACGAGGCTGGGGTAGGCAAGACATGCTCGGCCTGCCAAGACCTATTCATGTACTAGGTGACAGCTGTAAAGTGTAGAGGGCTAATCTGCTGGGATGGAAGCATCATGTGTCCATTGCACATTTGGTGAGTCCCTCTTGATTAGCGCCAGCAATCTCTTCCTTTTCCCTGCCATGGTCTGAGCATCATCTGTGCACACTCCCACACAGTTTTTTTAACTTCACCCTGCACTTTGTCAGGTAACAGACAAACTCAAAAAAAAAATCAGGTTGAGTGGCGAATCACTTCCTCTAAAAGTTTCTGTTTATTGGCTGCTAGTTCAATGACTCCTTGCTGGATTCACCAACAGATTGTGGGTTGTCGGTGTCGATGATGGCTGTCGGTGTCGGTGTCGACTCTCCTGCAGACTCTCTGCGGCTTCGTTGGTGTGGTACGTGCCTGTATGTCGGAACATCAGGAATACCAGCACACATAAGATGGTGAAGATCCCCAAGGCAATGATACCTGCAGAGGAAACAGACCACAGGTTAAAAAAACGGGTGTTATATTGTGTTTTTATATATAATTATTATTAATGCCTAAAACTTCTTAAGCCAGATGTCAGATGAGTGAATAACAACATGCTGTCCAAACAGCCTTTTTCTTTGACTTTATTCATGAAAAAGATTTCCTTTTTGTGATGCTCTTTATTGTTAAGGTAAAGCACAATGACACACTTATTACAGGACAAAATCCGCAAAGAGATAAGAAGTACAATTTTGTCCACAGGGCGCCAAAGTTGATACAAATCAAAAGTTCCTCGCAGGAGCTTTAAAAATGTTATCACGACTTTCTATACACAGATACCAAAAGTAAACATGAGATTTTAAATGTAGTCTCCACTCCCTCTTCTCATTGACTTTCCACTTTGCCCAAACCATAGACTGTATAAAACACAAAGTCAGAGTGAAGTCACCCATTGGTTTCTCAAGCGCTCTTTTGAAGATTTGAAGATCATCAATGGCGATCGCCAAATTCTGTCTCAACCAAACTTTTCGTCAGGTTGGGACAGGCAAAGAGGTGCAGCTGAGGTGGGCCTTAAGCATCCTGACAAACAGCTACAGCATGCACAGATCAGAACCCCCCACCCCCACCCCTAAAATATGCATAAATCTTCTCCTCAATAAAATAAAAAAGGATGAGTTAAAAAAAAAATCACCACCCCATTACTAGCCGATAAAGAAATTAGCTTTTCAGACCAACATGTACCAGGCTGCTAACATTATTATCTTCACTGTCAAAATCAACATTTTAATATGGGGTGCATATGGGAACTCCCGGGTCTTTTGGAGCCAGCCTCAATATATATAATATTACTAACTTGAGTTTTTGTCCTTATGATCTCATTAATTTTTCAACAATAATTCCTGGATGTAAGGTACATCTTATAACCATAAGAAAGAGTAGCAAAAGCTGTTTTAACGAAGGT